TTATAACTGTTGTTATTTATTATAACTGTTATTTATTATAACTGTTGTTTGTTATTAATGCTGTTATTATAACTGTTGTTAGTTAATATAACTGTTACTTATTATAACTGTTGTTATTTATTATAACTGTTGTTTGTTATTACTGTTGTTATTATAACTGTTGTTATTTATTATAACTGCTATTTATTATAACTGTTATTTATTATAACTGTTGTTTGTTATTAATGTTGTTATTATAACTGTTGTTATTTATTATAACTGTTATTTATTATTACTGTTATTTATTATTACTGTTGTTTATTATTACTGTTGTTATTTATTATAACTGTTATTTATTATAACTGTTATTTATTATTACTGTTGTTTATTATTACTGTTGTTATTATAACTGTTATTTATTAAAACTGTTACTTATTATAACTTATTATATATATAGCATTTCATACCTCCATGTGTGTGTGTGTGGGGGGGGGGGTTGTCCCCCTGAAAACCTCCACTCTGAGACCTGGACTCAGAAACCTTCAGTTTCAGAGAGGATGAGGCTGTTGTCTGTGAATGAATGTTTCACGTCGTGTAAACGGGGCCTCAGACTGGCTGCCCTGTCTGTCAGTCAAGACTAATTTCATAGATGGATGATCGGATGACGTCTAGTTTTTTAATGCCATGTGATCTACCCAGAATACCTTTGCGATCGACTAGTAGATCACCATTGACGTATTGGACACCCCTGGTCTAGATAAAAAGCATGCCCAACATGTTTTTGTACAAACACGTTGAACAAAGTTCAATCGGTTACATGACATTGTGGATCTATTTTAAAATGCCTACAACAGTGATGGAAGGAGACACAATGCAGTTAAATATGAGGTATCAAAACCAAATCCAGACCGAATTGGGTCACTTCTATTGTGAATTGGTGTTGTACTGTATTAATAAATTGAATTAAATGGATTGAATGGCCATTCTTGCCATTACTGGGGTTGGGTAGCAGGAAGAAGCTAAGTACAAGTAACTGAAGATCACACACTCCATAAGCAAGAAAACTGTTCAATATTCTTAACTCTGACTGAATAAAGCTTCCTTTTGTGTTGAGTTTTGTTCCTATTGAATCCCCACCAGCTGGACTCCATGTTCCTCTGAACCTCTGCTGTTTTCACTACTGGGATTTCTAATAAAACAACAACATTAAAAGATCTGAATCAGTTTTTGTGTAAAGTAGCAGGAAACATCGCCATGGTAGGAAACATACTATCCACAGGTGGAGAACCGATTGACAACTAAACATCTGTATGATTCATGCAACCTGTCCAACTGTAAAAAAAAGCTGCATACAGAGTAATAAGAATAAAAATAGTGGAAAGTTGTACATTATCACAACTATTCAGGCAGTTTGTAATTGGTTGAGTGGGTCATGGTCATTCAGTGAGATGCGGGTCATCTCTGATGGACATATCTTAACAGCACTGAACACACCAAAGGTCTGTTTGAAGGTTTTAGTTTACGATTTCAGGACAAACAATCGAGTTGCCAAGGAACAAATGTTTGCAACTTTTTAAAGCACTTTCCAAACAATAGGCTTATCCTTGTGATTAATGTAGTATCTTCACCACCCCACTTGAAACAAGAGAAGTGGAGTTTGAACTCACACTTTTAATAAACCCTGGTCTCTACTGAACAAGTAAACTATAAGCTTTACGGTGTATATCTGCTAACAAACCTAAACTGCTGTGACCATCCCTAAAGGTGACCTGGTTTGAATCCCTGATTAGACTTAGATCACAGTCATGTATTACTACAGTACAGTCAATAATATATAGTCATGTAGTTATTTAGTCATGTACATTGGTTTCTCCTGGAGTAAAAAAAATAAAAGAAAATCCTCCAGTAAAGTAGTAAAAAGTAGTTTTGCTCCAGAACTCAGGTGCAGTATTTAAAGTAGTAAACTTTTGTTTGTTGTTCTTGTAAATCCCAGGTAATATGCAGCATTTTATCTTCAGCAGTGCTGTTGCATTTCTCGTGGCCAATTTTTGAAACTCACATCTTATTATTGTGAGCAGTTTGCAAAACTGTTTTCTAGGCTGAGCACATGAATTCATCACTCAACTGTGCCCACATCATACCCACCTAATACTCGCTTTGTTCTCATTTTGGCTGCCACTCCCATGTTTGACTTCAACTTTTGGAGTGCACTTAGAAATGAAGACGGGCAAATTTGGACCAGATTTTCAATATTAATATTCATCAGCTGTGTTGTTTGTTTGAGTGGGTGGCTGTGGCTGAATGGTTAGAGCAGTCGTCCTCCAATGCGAGTTGGAGGTTCGAATCCACCAGCAGTCACATGCCAAAGTGTCCCTGCAAGACAATGAACCCCTCATAGCCTCTGATGTGTGTCCCATCAGTGTATGAATGTGATAAATCACTGATTAGTCTCTTTAGAATGATTTGTTCAATTATCTTTGTAGAGATCTAGTACAGAGCTGTATGAATGGGTAAATGAGGCACAGATTGTAGTGTAAAGCGCTTTGAGTATCTTGAAATAAGATAGAAAGGCGCTATACAAATATAGTCCATTTACCATTTTGTTTCCTGTCAAGAGATACGCTCCAAATACAGCTTTGTGCTCCTGTGACGGACGATGCCAACTACAAAATCATAGAGTTTGAGACACCAAAGAAATAAATTAAAAAATCCAACAACAAAATCACAACATATGGTACATGGGGTCAGAGAGAATTTGAACAGTGTTCAAAAGTGAATTTACTTTCCCTTTAAACCACAGAGCGATGCTCTCCACATACATACACGGCGCTGGGCTGTATGCGCCTCTTTGTGTTGCCTGGCAGCTGAGGAAGAAACTTGAAGTATTTGGGCATCAGATCGAGGCATGCGTCACGAAACTTCTTAATTCTCCAGTAGTAAATGAGAGGGTTGAGGGCTGATTTGAGGTAGCACAACCACAGGACCCACGTGCTGATCTGAAAAAAGCTGTCTTTCTGGTAGAAACTGGCACTGAAAGTAGCCACCAGGCTGTAGGCAGTAAATGGTGCCCAACAAACAGTAAAAACAGAGAAGAGGATGAGGATGGTGGTGAAGGCACGGGTCTTGAAGCTCATGTCTATGTTCATCTGGAAGGGCCTCTGGAGGCTCAGCAGACCCAGTTTGCTGGCCTGGCTCAGACACATGCCGTCTGGGTGGCTGTGGATCCGGATGGCGTTATGACGGATGGTGTTCAGGATCCCCATGAACGTATACAGCATCACCATGAAAGGTATGAAGAAGAACACCAGAATGAGAATGAGCACGTAGGCATGGTACCCAGGGTTGATGCTGTAGCCAAAGACACACTGAGGAGCCCTGGGAGGGAGCTGCAGAGGAGGAGAGCCAACAGCCAGAGGGAAGGAGAAAATGAAGGAGAGTCCCCAGGTGACCACAATGAGCAGTTTCGCTCTTTGTGGGCTGAGCTTATCTTGTTTTTGGACAATAATAAGAAAACGATCTATGCTTATTATAAGCAGCACAGCTACTCCTTCCATCACGAAAAACCAAAAGAGCATGGCTGAAACTCGACAGAAAGCATCTCCAAAGATCCAGCTAGTGCTAATGACTGTAACTAGAGCAAAAGGCATGTTCAGGATGGCCAGCATCATATCTGAAAATGCCAGGCTTGCTAGGAGAATGTTGATGGCCGAGCGCATGGCAGACCTCTGGTACACCATCAGGCACACAACCACGTTTCCTGCCAGGGCCACGAGTAAGATAGCAGCCATGGCCATGCTGAAGAAAACCTGCAGGGGTAGGCCGACACCCCGCAGGACCTCCGGGGCTTGGGCCGTGGCTGTGACTGGCTGAGGTGAGGACCTGGAGCCCAGGGAAACGTTTGCCACGGGGAGGTTCTCCATCAGCAGGTTCTTGAAAGGTTCAGAAGTTCCTTAAGGCAGCAGTGGCAGATGGTAAGGTCCCCTGCTTCAAGAAGGGAAAGGACCATTCTTCTACAGGGTGAACACACATCATCAGAAGAGAGATGACGGGAAACATAATGCGGTGGATGTAAAGTCCCCTCAGAGCATCAGGACGCCGTCTGTACAGGTGGGCTAACCTGGGACACAAACAAAATGGGCAGAATAAATTAGCTGACGTATAAATCTATTCCAGGTCTCTGTCACACTCAACTCTAAACATCATACATGAATTTTCCTTTACAAAACAGTTACAAACTAAAAATCTCTAAAAAAAAAATTAAAGCTCTCAACAACCTAGCTCCATCTTACATTACAGATCTTATCGTTCCATATTTTCCTAACAGAGTACTTCACTCTCCAACTGCAGGTTTACTTGTGGTTCCTAGTTTCCAAAAACAGAATGGGAGGCAGATCCTTCAGTTTTCTTGTGGAACCAACTTCCAATTTCTGTCCATGAGGCTGACACATTGTCCAGTTTTAAGACTGGGATTAAGTCATTCTTTTTTGAAAAATCCTATAGTTATATAGGATTATATAATTAAACATAGGGATGCACCAATCCACATTTTCTAACTTCCGATCCGATCCCGATCCCTAAATCTGGATATCGGTCGATACCAATCCCGTTCCGATATCATCATCATTATTGATTTTATATGAGGCTGTAATAATCTCCTCTCTACAGGCAAGTAAAAGTTGTACAAATATATACATATATGTCCAAAAAAGGCAACTTGAGGTAAGTTTTATTAATGTTGGATAAGTTTCAACGTTAGAATTAAATTCTGCTAACACAAAACATGTTTTTTTTATTCCTAGCTTTAAAGTGGATATTAAAGTGATTAGATGGCTTCAAACATCTGCTAAGTTCATGGCATAAACCAACACAGACATGTTTCTGTTTTTGTTTAGTTTTTTTTAAATATAATTTTATTGTAATTTTCAATTTATATGCTTTTTATGATTGTCTACTAATTGTACTGATAAATGTCTCCTGGAGGGTAAACTATACCTGGCTGCAAGCATCAAGCTGCAAAATCCTTTGTTTTCTACAACTGATAGTGGTTAGTCATCAATTATGATGAAGTTTGCAACTTCACTGTAAACATTCGAGCTCCGGGGCTTCAGCGATGTGTTATTTTCGTTCAGTCTGTAGAAGGCAGTCTGATTTCGGTCAGTCTGCCCCTCCTCCGACATGGACAAACTGAGCGGGGCTGACCGAAATCAGACTGCCTTCTCTGGACTGAACAAAAATAAAAGACCGCTGAAGCCCCGGAGCTCGAATGTCCAACGTAAAACTAACTTTACCGCGGTTTAATGTGGTACTATGGCTCTGCAGACATTGCACGTTGCTGTCTTGCTTTGTGGTGTTTCTAGTGTAAAATACTTCCACACAGCGGACATGTTTAGATGAAAAGTTGGTTAACTGTTAGCCACAGTGCTACTGCACGTTGTAGATGGCTGCAAACTATGAAATGGATTTCCTGACTGTGAGGCGGGTCTTATTACTCTGGGTTCATGAGACACGCCTCCGTTCAGGAAATCCATTCCATAGTTTAAAGCCAACATGCATCATGGATCGGAAAAATTCGATACGTAAATTATGCTGGTATCAGAGGCCGATACCGATACTGGATCGGATCGACCCCATCCCTAGTTATATCCCCTTATCCTATGCTGCTATAGGCTTAGACTACCGGTACTAGAGGACAAATTGACCACATTTCATCAAATAAATAGTTAAAAAAATAATATAAATGAATAGTTTGTATTTGTCATTATTTCTATCCTATGTGGGTTTTTTTTGTTTTGTTTTTGCTCCTCCTAGTGAGGGACCCACTCGCCTACATTCTGGACCTGTTATTGTGTATATGTTCCTCCTTCTTCTCAAACCCAACAAGTCGAAGCAGTCCTAAGCCTGGTTCTGCTAGAGGTTTCTTCCTGGTATGAGGGAGTTTTTCCTTTCCACTGTTGCCATGTACTTGCTCAGGATGGAAAACTGTGACGAAATGAAGACTCATTGCAATCTGCTGGGTACCCTACCTTACATAAATAACGGTACCACTTGGCTTTTATAATGTATATAAATGTTTCTGTTCAGTGTCCTGAAATGACTTCTGTTGTGACTTGGCACTATATAAATAAATTGAATTGAATTTGTTATGAAATTTTTAGGTTTTTTAGTTTTATGTCAGGGTTAGATTTTAGTTAATGTTAGCCTACTATTAGCTAGTGTTTTGCTACTTTTAGCTTATAATACTATATACTTTTAGCTTATTTAGCCTTTTGCTACAAGTTATATTAGTTGGTCTTTTTAGACTTTGGCTTGTAGCCAAAATTTTACTACTTTTAGATTTTCCCTTATGTTTTGGTGCTTTATGCTAGATTTTTGATACCTTTGGCTTATGTTGTTCTACCTTTGACATGCATTTTCTTGTTCTGGATTTTTGTTCTGCTTCTTTTAGCTTTTCCATGTCCATTCCAGCTTGTTCAGCAGATTTCAGTAATTCAGTACTCTCTCTCTCTCATATCACTCTAACTAACACACACACAGGGACAATTTAGAGTTACCAATCAGTCTAACATGCATGTTTTTGGTCTGTGGGAGGAAACAGCATGGAGAGAACATGCAAACTCCACCCAAAAAGGCCCCCAGCCAGGATCTGAACTGCCGACCTTCTCGCTAAGAGGCAAAAGCTCGACCAACTGAGCCGCCCAGCTCAAGGTCTAGCCCTGAAAATACATACACAAATCAAACCTTTCCAAATAATCAATATAGGGCTGCAAATAACAATTGTTTCAATAATCGATTCATCGGCAGATTAATTTTTCGACTAATCGATGAATTGGCAAAAAAAACAAAAAACAACGTTTTAATTTCCACCCCTTTATTCCAAAATTGAACATTTGACTGACATAGAAATTCACACAAAAACAGGTTGCCATTTTACTATTCTGTTAGTAAAATATTGAATAATAAAAAATAAAAGTTAGTCAAATAGCTTAAAAAAATAAATGTACACAAAAATATATACAAATGTATCTTTATACCTGCACAATATGTAGCTACTTTGTAAAATGTGTCCTTGAGGGAAGAGTGTAACCTGGATTAAACGTGTGGATCATTGTAACCTGGATTAAAAGTGTGGATTATTGTAACCTGGATTAAAAGTGTGGATTATTGTAACCTGGATTAAAAGTGTGGATCATTGTAGTGAAGCCTTCGTCTTCAACCATGGACAAAGGCATCATGTCAGTGACGATCATGTTCAGGATGATTTCAGTGAAGAAAGCTGCTGCTGTGGTGTCCATGATGTCTGTCCATCATGAAGGTTGCCACTGTTTGTTGTTGTTTTCTGGAATGAGACAGTAAATATGTTTTATAACATAATTTACAGCAACTCAAGAAATGCCTTGTTTCACTTACAGTGTTAGGTTCAGGCAAAAGTAGCTAAAAGAGCAACACACACACACACACACACACACACACACACACACACACAAAATACTTAATTACATACATTTGAGTAGATGTAATAAATTACTTAAATTCTTGTTTAAATGCAATTCATCCTGCCATATCTGCAGTATCTTCAGACTTAGCCAGCAAATTAAAAGTTGAAGCTTAATCATTAAATTATTATCTTTGTGCTAATTTATTTATAAATCACATTTAAACACTGCTTGTTCCAATTAAATAAAATAAAAAGTAATGCACGTTCTCTATCTCCGTCATTAATCAGATAAACAAGCAGCAGCTTCAGCTCCAGAGAGACTGACGTTACGTTTTCTCTCTTGAAACAGAACAATGTGAATATTGTAGAGACTCACCTGCAACACATGACGAGTTGTATCAGCTGCTCAGCTCCTTCCTCCTCCTCGTGACTCCAACATGTTTACGTTTCATCTCTGTGGTTCTCCCGTGTCGTGTCGGCAATTTTCAAAGCGGCATGCTTCTCAGTTCCCTTTCGGTCGGTACACTCGGTACAACACAGTAGTATGGGGGATTGCGCCCTTGTGAGACAAACCTGAAGAAGTTTCTTTCAACACGCCTGTCAAGGCAAATGAGATCGCTGCATATACAGGAGGCCCCGCCCTCATGGCCTATAAATATGCAGTGTGGTCTCATTTCCCTAATCTTTTTGCACTTCACCTCGCTTTAACCTGATTGCAGGTTCCCTGTATGTGACTCAACTGTCCGACTGGAGGTGAGCTTGCTCCCTACTTAGGGCGTCACTACAAGATTCTGATCCTGCTTACTGCCTGTTTAGCCCAGCTAACGGTCATCTTTTCCGCTTGCTGTTTTTCTAGCCTGTTTAGCTTGCTAACTGGTCTAGGTCACTCTTCCCTGTTTAGCCTTGCTGCTAAGGAGGAAAAGTATAGAACACCACAGCTAACTTTCTGCCTGTTTAGCTTGCTAACAGGTAAAAATTTACTCTCCTTCTCTGTCGCTAACATGGTGCCGGAAAAGAGCAAGAGAAAAATCAAAGCCTCTAGCAAAGCTAGAAAGGCGAGAAGCCCAGGTTCACGTCTGTGTCCAAGCGCATGTGGATTTTTTCTTTCGGAAGCGGACACCCACGAAGCTTGCCCGGTGTGTCTCGGCATGTTGCATGCTAAGGCGGCACTTGCTAACCCGGAGTCATATGCGCATTGTAGCAGACTCAGAAAATCAACCCTGGAGAAGCGTGTGGGATTCCTGACAAAAACGTTAGGAAATTCAACCGCAGCGAGAGACCCGCTGTTGTCTGAGGCTCTCGAACCGATCACAGAGCTGGAGTCCGATGAGATGGAGGACAGCACCATGACGTTGTCCTGCGGTGAGCAGATAGATGGGCTGCTTCCCATGGATGATGCAGACGAAAACCAGGTCAAGTTCGACATGCAGGACTTGTTGCTGTTGGACGAGATCTCTCTGAAAGCCTCAGGCGGCCTCTCTGAGG